TCTTTTCCCTGCTTCAGGCTTTATTTAAACTCTTTGTTCAAAAATGAACAGAGTGGTAGTCGGAATCTAATTTACAGATATAGTTTAGACGTCTAACTTTAAATTAGAAGATCACACAAGAAAACCATTTACACGTAAATGTTAAAACCATTACTTAATCATTTTTTTTACTTTATATTACATAAAGCCAATATGAAACTAAATACATGTTAGACAGCTTCATTCACAAACATTAGTCAAAATATACACATTACAAAAGTAAACCAAAAAAGAACTCTAAACTGATGAAGGATTTTTTTCCTCTAAACTTTGTTGTTTTTTCTTTTTTTAAATGCCATTTGCAATTGAATTGCAGTGGCTCTAAAATAAGCTAAACAGGTAGGGTACTCCAAAACACGTGTGAAACACTTCATGTTCATGGGGGAAAAAATTTTCTTTTAAATGAGAATACTCTCCTGTCAAAGCAAAGCTCTGTTTCAGTTCAGCTAAATAATAAATAGATAATTATCACTCAGACAAAAAAGTCTGATTTAACCTTAGATAATATTGCGATCCTCAAGCAGTCTCACAATATTTTTATTCCCTTTGAAAGGCATTCCTTTTTTTTTTTTTTTTTCAGGTTAAGACTGAATCGACCGTGGGCGAAGTAACTAACAGTTTTCAATCTGAGATCTAACATTTCCACAGAGATATACAAATTTACAGTCTGAGGGTGAGACTTAATTGGTGGGGGATGGGGGGAGACACACGGGAACCGAGAGTCACGCGTCTTATCCTCTCGTGAAAATCACGACCCGTGCTTGTCAGCATCCCGTAGCAGCGGAGGGCAGAAATCCACGCATGGCAGAGCACAGAGCAGGAAAGGCAGCATCCCGCACCACCCATTCTTTCTTTGCGTGGATCCCACGAGGGGCTACGAACCAAGGACAGAGTGACCCTGTCCTTTACTGGGACGGCACCTGGCCCTGCCGTGCTGAGCCGGGACCTCACCACCCCTCTTCTCCCCCGGCTTCCCCGTCTCTCCTCTCGGTGGCGGGGTTCAAAAACGGGACTGTTCCGAATCCAGCACCACGCGGGGAGCGACAGAAGGGAAAGCCGGAGCCGGCCGAGGGACGTTGCTCCCCGAGTCTGTGCCCAACAAGCACTTTAGGGGGCAGGGCGGATGGGTTATATTCTTTTTTTCCTCTTTTTTTTTTTTCCTTTTTTTTCTTTTTTTTTTTTCTTTTCTTTTTTTTTTTCCCCTTCTGTTTCAGCTGGGCTATCTGCACAGACCGCATGCAACACACACAAACTCTACCCGGGGCAGCGGGCAGGGGACGAGCAACAGGTCGTCCGCCGCCCCGGCGCTCCCCATCGCCTGCCCCGGTCACCCTCCGCGGCCCCGGCGGCGGCTCGCCCCCCTCCCCGTGCGCACGGATGTGCCGGCACACATCCAGACGGGCGCCGGAGCTCTGCGCGGGCCTCCTCCGGCCGTGGGTCATAGTGCCGCGGCATAGGCTGCGGGATAAGGGTCCAGCTGGGGCTTGCCCATGCCGGGCAGGAGGATGTAGGCCAGCGGTGGCTGCAGCCCCGGTCCGGGCCAGGCGCTGCAGTTGCAGGGGATCATGTAGCCCGGGTTACCGGGCGACGGGTGCGAGTGCGTGTGCCCCCCGGCGGCGGCCGCGGCGGCGGCGGCAGCAGCGGCGGCCCCGTGGAAGGCGCCCGCCCCGCCGGCGCCGGGGTAGCCCAACGAGGAGGCGTAGGGCAGCCCGGAGCCCGAGGAAGAGGAGGAGGATGAGATCTCGGCCATTTTGGAGCCCAGGTCCAGCAAGGAGTAGGGGCTGCTGGCGGCGGCCGCGGCGGCGGCGGCGGCAGCGGCGGCTGCCGACTGGGGGAAGAAGACGCGGGCGGCAGCAGCGGCGGCGGCGGCTGCCGCCTTCTCGGGGTTGGCCAGGAGCGACTCGGGCACCAGCCCGCCGGCCGCGCCGCCGTGCAGCCCGCCCGCCTTCAACCCGTGCGGGTGCTCGTGGTCCGCCACGCCGCCCAGCCCGTAGGGCACGGGGAAGGCGAACTTGTCCTTCTTGAGCAGCGTCTTGGGCTTCCGCCGCGGCCGGTACTTGTAGTCGGGGTGCTCTTTCATGTGCATGGCTCGCAGCCGCTTGGCCTCGTCGATGAAGGGCCGCTTCTCCGATTCGGTCAGCAGCTTCCACTCGGCGCCCAGGCGCTTGCTGATCTCCGAGTTGTGCATCTTGGGGTTCTCCTGGGCCATCTTCCGTCGCTGTGCCCGCGACCACACCATGAAGGCGTTCATCGGCCTCTTGACGTGATCCACCGGCTTGGACATGGTGTCCCCCCGCCGCCCCGGCGAGCCGCCGCCCGCCCCGCTCTGGCGGCCGCCTCCTCCGGGCTCGTCTCCCGCCTCCTCCTCCTCCTCGCCCCCGCCGCGGTCCGCTCCTTCAAAACCAATCTCGGCGGGTACCCTGACGCGGCGGCACCGGCTCCTGCGGGTGCGGGGCGGCGGTACCCGGTGGCCTCACTCCGGGCGCGGGGCGCTGCCGAGCGGCGGCGGCGCCTCCCCGTCAGGGCGCTGCGGCGGGCGGCTTGGGCGGGACGGGCTCTGCTCCCCGCCTGGGCCGCGGAGCTTCTCTCCGCGCCGCCGATCTCCGGGCCAGGGCTCTTCCTCAGAGCTCCCCGCAGGCGACAACGCACGGAGTCCAGACGGGAGCGCAGAGAAGTCTCGACGGCGAGGACGGGACCCGGCGGCAGGCGAGAGGCGCGGGGCGTGGGGGTCCTCGCTTCGCTGCGGACGCGATGATCCCCGGCAGTCTCCGGTGAGGCGGCGAGCCCTTGACGGGGCGCCCGTCACAGCCCGCCCGGTGCCATCACCGCCCGCAGAGCTCGGAGGGCAGCCCGCCGCGGCGCGGGGCCGGGCGGGACGGGGTCCGCGGCGGCTCAAGCGCTGCGGTGAGGGCCCCGGGGGGCGCGGGCCGCCCTGCTCACAGCCGCCCCGCTCCGCCCGAGGGGGCGCGGCGAGCAGTCCGCTCCTCGCACATACTCGCCGGGTGCCGGGCACCGCGGGCCTCCCGGTTCGCGCCGCCGGACAAACTTCCCCAAGTTTCGGCGGGATACGGGGCGCTCCGCCTGCCGTGCGGCTCCCCCTTCTCCGGCAGCCGCCAGGTCTCTCTGGGTTTTCTTGGCCGCCGATTCGGAGGGGCGGCGGGGCGGGCAGGAGCGGCGGGGGGCGGAGGGAGGAGGAGGCGGCGGCGGCGGAGGAGGAGGCGTGGAGGGGGGGGACACACCTAATTAAAATCCCCGGCGGTCCGCGGAGCCCGGCCCGGCACCCGGGGGAAGGGGGGTCCCTCAGCCGCCCCCTCCTCCCGCCCCGTCGGCGCGGCCGCAGGTACCGCGCGCGCCCCGCGTGCCCCCGCGCCGCGCGCCGCCCTATATGCCCGCACGCGGCCTGCGCGCCGCCGGCGGGGCGCGCGGGCGGGGGCGGGGCCCCCCCGTCGGGAGGGGCGGGGCCGAGGATGGCCACGCCCCGCTCGCGGGCCAGCGGCGCGGGGAGGGCTCGGGCTCGGCGCATGCGGGGTGTTTTTGGGTGTTTTGGGGTTTTCCCGGCGGAGGGTCCGTACGGCCGAGGGGAAGAGGCCGCCGCCTCCCAGAGCATCCCTGGGTGCGCCCAGAAAATCCGCGCGCGTTCTCCTGGCCGCTCGGCACGCCGCTGCACGGCGCCCCCAGCCCGAGCTGTCCCACCGTGTTCCTCACCGGCCGCCTGCCAGTCAGGGTGAACTTGCTCGCCTTGTTTGTGCTTCGGCGGGTCGGTTTTGACTTACCCCTGTGGTATGTGGAAGCGCCGACTCCAATAAACCATTAACTCTTTCCCGTGTTGGCAGCAGGCTAGGCTCTGCCCGGGACGGCTCCGCCGTCCTTTTAGGGAAAAGCCGGAGCCGCGCTTCCCGGGGGCGATGCACGAGTAGGGTGGCAGCCGCTCCGGGAGCACCATCAAGCCCCCCGCCGGTTGCGCCACAGGGTGCGGGGCGCGGCGGGGACGTAGCTCGGCGGCGGGGACAGTGATGTCCGCTCGCCGCACGGACTTGTTTGTCACGCCGCCCGCTCTCGTCTCGTCCGCGCTCCTCTCCGCGCATCCCACTCCGTCCTCCGGCCAGGTTCCCCGCTCCAGCAGCTGGGCTTCGCGCCTTCCTTACCGCCGCACCGCACCTCTGCCCGCCACCACCACCCGCAGCTCCTGGGATGTCGGGATGTTTGGAGAGAATCCCAAAGCCAGCCATCCCTCCCCGCCGGTGAGCCCGCCCGGGTCCCGCGGCAGCCTGTCACGACCGGAGTGCCCTGTAAAATACCGGGCAGCTCCTCTACAAACTGCGTCTTCTCCCGGTTCGTGTTTTACGACCTATATACTACTACTTAAACGTAATTCTCTCAGTATCCGAAGCCACCTTGCCAAGTTTGACCTCCTACAATCCAGTTAGCCGTGAAACAAAAAGAAAGTACCCATCGATTGTCAAAAGCGGGGAGATTAAGATATCTGCTGGCGTTCAGGCTTGGCGGGGAAACGGGAATTCTCGAAGGTGGGAGCCCCACCAAAAGAGGCTGATCTCGGCGCAGGTAACTGCCCTGGAAATCAGGTTATCACCCCATCGGCCAGGGCATTCCCGCTTTGGGATGAACAGTCAATATTTTCAACTGCGTAACCCCCCTTCTGCCCCGTTTGACCAGGGCTTTCCTGTCGATTTCTCGCGATCACATGTAGCATTACTGTGTTTGACTTCTAAGAGGCGAGGACTCTATCCCCGTCTCTATCCGCACAGTTCGGATGCCAGCTTGATTGACTTCCCCTCGTATCGGCGGTGCGAGCGGGATAGTGCCCGGATTAAGTCAGTTCAGGGGCAGGCGAGAGCGTGGTTCATACGTCCCGGCAGCCGCCATGAGCAGGGTGAAAACCAGGAACATCTAATGGAAGGTGCTCGGGGCGTAGAGGGAGAGTCGGGGGAAAGAAGCAGCAGCGACTCACTGATGCCACCACCAGTGGCGCCCCCGGCTCCCGGAGGCTCCGGGCCCCCCTCCCGACAGCTCCCCCGGAGAGCAGAGTGGGGGCTCACTCCCCAGTGGGCTGGGTTCCAGCGTGGATCTGTCCCCGCTCTCCCCTCCCACGCTGCTTCCCTCAAGCCTCCACTCCCCCTGCTTGTGACCCCGAGCCCGTCAGTGCGAAAGCAGGGTGCCGTGTAAAGGATCGCGATGATCCAGTGTCGCGACAGAACCGCGTGAAGCACACAAGGCGGGCGCATGGGTAAGCCCCCGTCTGATAGTTCCTACACAGATGAATCCCCGCACCACAAACTCTGCCCCTGGGGTCAATCCCTGGGTACCGCCGCGCCAAGGCTGCTGCCGCCGCCGGGCTGCAGCTCTGGATCTGCAAGCGCTCAAAAGGAGAAGTAAGGTGCAGGCGGAGCGGGCACCTGTGACACAGAAAACGCGTGGGGAAGGGCCACGGGTGTCGGCATTGGGCTCGGGGAGCTTCCTAGGGTGAGTGGTCACCGTCTGTCCGAGAACAGCGCAACCACCAACTCGCAGGTCCCCACAGAGTCGCACATAGGCGATCTGGTCTTTTTAAAAAAATGCACTTGCATAACTTCTAGCAGAGAAGATGCCTCAACTCATGGACTTCTCTCTTCCAAAAATGTCACCATATGCAAACCCGTGGCTTCGTCTGCGCATGTTTCTGATTACGTTCAGTCCTCCAAATAGTGAAAAAGGTAATAGAATTTATTGGTCATAAATTACTGTACACGAATCTTCCACAGGCTGAAATCTATAAATGGCTCAGTACTGGCTCAAGTCTATTTTTCCAGTTGCAAATGAAATACTTTTTCGAATCTCCTTTACAATGTGCTTTCCCTCTCCCCTCACCTGAGTTTTGCGGCAATCACTGGCTACTAAAACAACCACCCGTGGTTATTTCAGCGATTGCTGGTAGTTACAGGGGATCTTCATTTCCCTAGTAATCTGTTTTCAAGAGGGTTTGCGCAAAGTGATGGAAACTCTTATCAGTTCCGCTTGGAGCAAGGATAGAGTCGTGTTAGGAGCGACCGGAGGGTCCCAAGTCTCCCTCCTCCCGGTTTGAGGCAGGCACGGCGCGGGGGAGGAGGCTGCTCTCCCCGCGGGGAGTTCCGCGGCCGCGGTGCGGAGCGGAGCGGCAGCCTACACAGGCACAGACACACAGGCACGGACACTCTCGGAGAGGCTTCAAATCCCCAAACACATGGGAAGACTTTATCGGAGTTTAGTTACTTATCTGGATTTTTGTTAAACCGCTACTGTGATCTCCGCGTAGTTGTGCGTGTTAATTGTTCTGATAATGTGTTGTTATCGATACAATAACAATACAATCGTGTATAATGTGATTTACTTGCCTTTGACCTGTCAATTCCTGACGCATTCAAATTCAAGGGCGGAATCTTTCCTTCTGCCACCGAAGGTGGTGTTGGGGGGGTGGTGAGGGGGAACAAAAACGCGAACAGATGCATTATCATACGGAGGTTAAACAAGACTTTCCAGAATGCAGTGCTGTATTCCACCAAGTAAGATCAGAGCGCTCCTAAGTATTAAAGAGTGTTTAGACTATCTTCTCGATAATCATATATTAATTCTGTCAGCTTGCTTACAGTAGATGTAACTACGTCGCACTCCAAATACTGTCCGATTTCTTGTATTCTGATCAAACATCTTATCTCTGGTGCAGGCAGCTTTAGGATGCTGCTTGTGTTTTTTGAAGTCGAGTTTAAAGTGAATTTCGAGGAAGCAAGCTCATTTCCTTCTAATTTTTATTTGAGCCAAACAATCAGGTGGCGAGTCAAAGAGGTAAAAAGAAGTTGAAGAACAGCGGTTACTCCGCTAGTGATCTCCGCCTCGCCGTGCCTCCCAATTGTAAAGCTCGGCAGCCCCAGCGCTCCCCTGTATTGGCAGAGCCACATCGCGTTTTCACGGCGCCCTTTGTGCGCTGAAGCGTTTCCATCCACTAACTTTGAAAGCTGACATTTTTCTCTGTGTAGGGTATCAGTCACCAATTCTACATCACTTTCAGCTGTCTAAAGTTGCCGGGCAAACTGGAATCTTAAGAACACCAATAAGTTGGTAGGCTGATTGTTCTGCTTGTATGGAGCTTGGCAGGTTTGTGAGCGCTCCTAAGTCTTTTCCCTCTTGTGAAGTCCAATACACCTGTAGCGAGAAAGGGGGTTTTACCTCGTGAGCTCTTTATTGTGCATAATACGCTAACCTCATTCATTAGCTTTTACAGAGGGCTTCCAAATGCTCGGTATTATTATTTTTCAATAACGTTTGCTTATTATTAGAGCAGCTGGTAGCCCAAGCTCTAGTGAAGTGTCTGGCAAAGAATTCTATCATAAAACACTGGTTTCTAAGTTTATAGTTTCTAATTTGGCTGTGAAAGTGTGATTCTGGATGGAACTTGGCACTCCAATGCTCAGCTGGAGAGTAAACTTTTTATAATCAAAACACTGGTTTATTGAGTTTGCTATTTTAAGTTAGAAGAGCATTAACAAAGTTTTTACTAGTTTGGGCAGCACAGAGAACTCCTGTACTGTTTTGAAAATTAAATGTTATGATTTCGGTAAGGGTAGAACATGATTCTGTGATCTGATGTGATATTATTTTAAAAGTAAAGTCCAATCAATGTCTCTGTGCTTCAGGACACTGGCGTTGCTTTTGCAGGAACGCAAGACCTAGATCTCACACAACCGTTGGTGGCAGTTCTGAGCAGAGGGTGGTGACAGGGTCTTTATGACATTTGGAAGTAAAGAAAACTTAAAAACTCAGCCTATTCGGACTTGCTAATAGACTAGATAAAGTTTATCTAACCTGTATGCACTCCATTTGTAAGCCAAGCTATTTTCCTGTACTTTAATGAGTCAATTTTTTTCTACTTTTTAATCCTGTTAGCCTTGCAGTGGCTATGCAGCTTGGGAAGAACAATCAGAACAGAAGCCAAGGAAGTCTTAGAACAAACCAAAAAAAGAAGATATTGGGTGGTTACATGCTAGTTCCTGTCTGGGAATGTGAAGGTGAGAAATAAAACTCACTGCAGAGTTCCTGTCCAGGCTTGGATGTTCCAGAAAGGGCAGCTAAATACCTCTGGAGCACAGGGAGCTACTGAAAGCTCATCAAGTACTGCAGATGTGTAAGCTTCACCTTCCTCACATGATGAAATCAGAGCTCATATGGATGGAGTCTGCTGACTCTAGAGTACAAGTTTCCCTGTTTGAGCAGTCATCTATAACTTTTCTTCAAAGGCACTGAGCAGTGCTCATGCTTCCTTTTTCCAAAGAAACTGA